TGTTAAAGGGGTCACTGTAAGGTCAACTGACTGCCCTTGATGTGTTGACAGATTTAAGACGACTTGTTTTCAGAGTCAGACCTTACTGTCGTAATGAAATCAGTCAAAATCAAGACATGATTATACTTTATTGTGCTCAAATGAGCAAAATCTAGAGGCCTTTACCTTTATATAAGACACTTCTGACACCAAATCATCAACTAGAATCCTAAAAACTGTTCCTAAAACTTAGATTTGCCACAAGACTTCAGTCAGGTAGTGTGTGTCAGGCACTCCTTCACAGTTTGCAGCGCTGAAACACAGGCAGTGTTTGCAGAATCAGCCAGACATGTTGCTTTAGAGCATCAACGTTTCTCTGTTTCAGACATTACAGAGCAGTAAATGTGATTACCGTCAGTCGTAAAGCACAGAAGCACACACACACACACACACACACACACACACACACAGGCTTTCACTTTCCTACACTGCGCTCCAGGCACAGAAAACACCAGTATGAGCTGCACTGATGGATCTATAGCTTTGATTAACAATTAGACAGCAGAATCAACCTGCTGGAACACACATTGACCTGACACACACACACACACACACACACACGTGCTGAAGGTTTCACGTGTTAAAATGTTAGTATGCATGACCAAAGAGTATGATGAGCAGCTGCAACACAAAACACTCATGACAAACACAGGTGTGCATATAAATTAAAGCAGAACACACACACACACACACACTCAAAAGCACACACAAATACACACATAAACTTAAAAGCACACACAAACAAACAAATAAACACACGTAGACACAAGCACACACACAAGCAGGGGCCGCTGATAAACCTGTCAGGCTTTATTCTGAGATAACAACCCCACAGCATAAAGACTGCACTGTCGCAGTGTGCATGTGTAGGTTTTCTCTAGTTTGGCGCGTGTGAGGTCGAAACACCTGCGTCTCCATCGAGTCTGAGCTCCTCCAAACCCTAATCAAACACTCGCGCTCCAGCTCAAGACTTCAGCTCTGATTTAAGACCACGATCCGGCCAGAAAGCTCACCGCATCCAAGAATGTGTCACGAAACTGGACACACACACACACACACACACACCTGCTGAAGAACAGTGATCAGTGAATCTGCACGCTTCTGTTTACAGTCAATTACGCCCGACATTTACAGTGTCAACTCTTTTACTACACACCTCAATAAGTTGCTCTATTTGTGCTGATTCTGTTATTCTGTTATTTAATAATTATACTGTGGCATCAAATGCTCTTCAAATGACTATAACATCACTTATCGGGATCATTTCTGTGACAAAATACTGCACAACAAGACCGTGACAGATCTGCAGTCAATATTAACACAGATGCTCTGCTGAACACTGAGGATCTACAGGAGACAACGCATCCGAGAACAACATCTGACTGATCCCAAATCAGCACATTGATGAGTCAGACCAGAGGTTAATCAACCAGTCACTGACAACACACACAGACACACACAAGCACGCACACACACACTGTGTTTATTCTGTTAAATGATGCTAAATAGATTTGTCAGGTTGAATTTACTCATATGTTCACGTTATCAGTCTGTTCTGGTGTGTGTGTGTGTGTGTGTGTGTGATATCTCAGTACTGTTGCGCCTAATAACTGCAGTGGATATCTGTGCAGTAGTGTAGCTCAGATATACTGGCCTGTTTTAGTGATATGATGACCATGTAAAGTGAGATAATGCTGCTACTTAAGGAGCCAGTGATGTTCAATCCTGTAATAATATATGAAAAGAGCTCAAGCTGAAGTGAAAGATCTCCTGCACCGACTACAGTGTCTGTCTGTCAGTCCACACAGATATAAATAGAGCTGACTGAATCTCTTCCACAGTGTAAGTGGTGGTTACTGAACGTTAAACTCTGACTGTCCCACTGTCTTTTACCAAACTCTGACTTAACCCTTACATATCATTAACTTAACTTTACCTTAATTCTAACTCAACCCTGACTTATCTCTAACTTAACCCCAAATGATCTCTTACCCAACTTTAACTTGACCCTAATGTATTGTAACTCTACCTTAACCCTAACTTATCTCCAGCTTAACCCAGTATTAACCCAACTTTATCTGTAACTGAACTATATCTTAACCTCAATTTATCTCTAACTTAACCCTAAATTATCTCTAATCTAACTTTACGTATCCCTAATATACTGTAACTTTAACTTGACCCTAATCTATCTCTAACTCAACCTGATATTAACCCAAACTTAACACTACAGTATCTTATTTCCAACTTAACTCAATATTAACCCTAAATTATCTCTAACTTAATTCCAACTTAACCACAATTTGACCCTAACATAACACTAACTTATCTTTAACTTAACCTAAACTTATCTCTATGTTAATCTGAACTAATCTCTAACTTAGCCCTACATTACCGCTACACTAAATATAACTTAACCCTAATGTACTGCAACTCTAAATTGATCCTAACCTATGTCTAAATTAACCCAATATTAACCCAAACTTAACGCTACAGTATTTTATCTCCAACTTAACCCATTAACCCTAAATTATCTCTAACTTAACTAAACCTTAACACAGTTGACCCTCACATAACTCTAACTTAACCATAACATAACACTAACTTAACCCCAACATATCTCTAACTTAGCCCAATATTAACCTTAATTTATCTCTAACTTAACCCATAACTTAACCCTAACATAACATTTACATAACCCTAACATACCTCAAACTTAACCCAATATTAACCCTAACTTATCTCTAACTTAACCCTAATCTATCTAACTTAACACATAACTTAACCAAAACATAACACTAACTCACCCCCCCAACCTATCTTTAACTTAACCAAATACTAACCCTAACGTATCTCTAACTTAACCCTAATTAATCTAACTTAACCATAACATAACACTAACTTAAAACTCTAACGTATTTCTAATCTAATCATATTGTAATTCTAACGCAACTTAACTTTTTTAACTTAACTCTATCTTACTTATCAAACACAAACTTAGCTAGCTCTAACTAAACACTAACTTAACCCCAACTTAGCTGTACCTTAACACTAACTTAACCTTTACCTTTTTAATGGATTCTTCTAAATGTGCTACAGTGTTAAAAAGTATTTGGGATGCATTTTGATCCTTTCGTGCAGAAAAAAAGACCTGTGTGTGTGTGTGTGTGTGTGTGTGTGTGTGTGTGTGTGTGTGTGTGTGTGTGTGTGGAAACTCCATCCCACGGCGGCATTCTGGGAGCAAAAACTGACCTCTATTTTACTTCACAGATTCAACCCAAACAGTCAATTACTGTCCATGACTTTCACTCAAATGACAGACTGACAGAAAAACACAGAGTCAGACACAAACACACGCTTCAGAGAGCAGAAAACTCTATTGCACAGCTATCATCAAAACAAACTAACGTAATATGATGGACAACAAGTCAATCAAACAGAAATTCAACTTAGAAAATCTGTTTATTAACCATTTGAATCAATTAAATATTATGTTTTAAATCCTTTTCGTCAGAAAGATTAGAATCAACATTACAGTATGAAGGTAAAATCAGTTAAAGTAGTGCTGTCAAACAATTAAATGCATTTAATTTACTATTTTTTTAAATATAAATATATTTAGGGTGGCACGGTGGTTCAGTGGTTAGTGCCTCAAAGCAACAAGGTTGCTGGTTTGAGCCTCGGCTGGGTCAGTTGGTGTTTCTGTGTGGAGTTTGCATGTTCTCCCCGTGTTGGCGTGGGTTTCCTCCGGGTGCTCCGGTTTCCCCCACAGTCCAAACACATGCGCTATAGGGGAACTGATCAACTAAACTGGCCGTAGTGTATGAGTGTGTGTGTGTAGATGAGTGTGTATGGGTGTTTTCCAGTACTGGGAAATGTTTTACGCTGTGTAAACATATACTGTATAGGTTGTCGGTTCATTCCACTGTGGCAACCTCAGAGCCAAAGGAAAATAAATGAATGAATAAATACAAATATATTTAGTTTATTTTATATACACCAAACCTTTATATATATTTAGTACAACAAACACACACATATATATATATATATATATATATATATATATATATATATATATATATATATATATATATATATATATATATGTCTTTTAAGTATGTGTGTGTGTGTGTGTTTACACATAAATGTGTAAATATGTAAGTATTTTATTTTGGATTAATGATAATCATCATTTGACAGCAACAGTACACGCATGTTTAGACGGCTAGAATATTACACTTAGTAAAGCACACGAGATTAAAAGAAGCTGAATATAACCCAATGCTGATTATGACTAAATCTGTTCTTTGTCTTGTTAAAGCCTTCACTAATTATGATGCATTCGACAAGCAGCAAAGACTTAATTACTGATTTGACAGATATGTAAATTGATTTCTGATTCATGTCAATGTAACCTAGAAAAGCTGCATTTAGGCTGAGGGGAAAGAACTGAGAGCTTGAGAAACACACAATTTAAAGGGACGGCACACCAAACAACGAACAAATCCTCATCATTTATAAACGTGTGAGTTTCTCTCTTCTGTTGAAGAGTAAACACGATATTCTGAAGGATGCTGGAAGTCCCCATAAAGATAGCTGTACATGTGTGTGTGTGTGTGTGTAAAGTGCTCTGTAATCCCGCTGTGTAAAGCAGTAAATGTCCTTTATATGCCCAGTAATCTGTCAGTTAACCCTTCATATACACAAACTGCACATCATGACATTTATTCTGTTTGTTCATACACACACACACACACACACACGCTCACTCACACACATGCACATACACACAAAGATGCTCACTCACACATGCTCAAACACTCACAGACAAAAAGCTCACACACTTACACACACATATGCTCACACACACAAACACACGCGGGCACACACATATATAAATGTGTGTTTGTGATTGTACTGTGTGTGTGTTTGTTTGTGAGTATGCTTCTGACTGTATGTTTATGAATGTGTGTGTGTGTGTGTGTATGTATGTATGAATGAGTGTCTCCAAATTCAGCTCAAGTATCGCTTCACTGTCGCACCTGTCGAGCCTTAAACTGACCACACAAATCAAGCTCATTTCACACACACACACACACACACACACACACACACACACACACACACTTAACTTTTCTATAATCCACTATTATTATATAAATTTACAGATATAAAGACACCATAAACGCATAAGTCAGCCTTCAAGTTGAATATTATTTTCAGTAAACAGCTCATTTTAGGTACACAAACAGTAAATTAATGATTAATGATTTATTTATTTATTTATTTATTTATTGACAGTGCTCAGCATGAACGAGTTCACCCCTCACAGATCTCTCTTTTAAATTAATATTTTCTATAGGACACTTTATACTAATAAAATATCTTATTTCTGTGTAAATATATATTATTTTAGTCTAAACTAAAACCAAATCGGGAACTAATCGAACAAAATACCGTAAATTACAGAGTACAAATCAGTAGCTGATACATCTCAATGAATATGTTAGTCAAAAATATTAAATACAATTTTAATAATAGGCAAAAACCAAGATGACCATAAAAAGAATAATTTTTTAGGAATAATTTTTAGGAATAGAAAGAAAAGGAATTTAAATAAGGTGAAAAAGATATATATATATATATATATATATATATATATATATATATATATATATATTCCTAAAAATTATCAGGGACCAACCCTTTATTTTAAGGAATATTAACTGAAATTCACCAGAATATATTGTCTGTATTTACTCATAAATGAATGCAGATATTTATTTATAAAAGGGGTGCACTTTTTATTCTTAACACTGTTTACCTATTTATTATTATAATTATCACTTTTAATCGATCTTTTTATTATAAATCTGCTTTGAAATGACAATTAGTGTCTGACAGATAACCCTATTATATCTTTCTTTTCCTTTTTAATTATTTAAAACCTATTTTAAATATATTTTAATCATTTTTATTGTTGTTTTTCTGTTTTACACTTGTATTTTATGCTTATTTGGTTCTTGTTTATGTAAAGCACTTTGAATTACCATTGTGTATGAAATGTGCTACATGAAAAAGTTAACTTATTAGTTTTTACACATATAAGTGAATCGAACATAAAACAATTAAGTTGTCCCCAAAACAAACTCGGGAATTGTGTTGTTTCAGCTCATTTTAAATAAGTAGTTTGAACAAACAGCTGACATCATATGTTTTGAGTATAATAATAAACTTGCTTATTGTGAAAGCGCTAATTTACAAATTAACTTGAATTAATTTCGATTTAAATGAATATTGTGAGTGTTTTGTGGAGCTCTGACCTTGTGGGGAGCCTTGAGGAGCCGGTGCACTCCCGCGATCTGGTTGATCACCGGAATATCTTCCCGGAAAGTGTACACCGGAGGTCTGGTAGGTTCGGGGAAATTAGTACTGTTGAACGGATCGGTATCGTCTAAAAACTGAACCCGACACACGAACGAAGACATGCTGCATCCATTCACGGGACACCGGCGTTTCCAAGCACGTCCTTCCTCCAGGTAACGACAACAAAAACACGGTGAGCGGGGGGCCTCGGAGACTTTCAGCGCCGTAAGGGAGTCTGACAGACGGGGAAACACAAGCGACTGTCCGTCTGGTTCACGGGCGGCTGACGGTGCGGGACACAGCCGGAGCCCCCGCCGGTTAAGCGCTTTAACGGCGGAGAGCCGCGCGGGAAACAGCGGCCTCGAGCGGACAGAGAGAGCACTGCACCTGTTAATATACTATGGGGGAAAATGAACTGAGTTCGTCTGCTTATAGACTACACCCTAAAAGTAGGTTATGTGAAGATAAAGTGCACACACTTTTAAGTGTGTAACAGAAGAGAATGAAGACTTGAGGATTTAGCTAGCCTACTACTTCGCTAACGGACCGCTAATTACCCTGTCAATCATCTTGTCGGATCATCCATATTTCCTTCATATTTACAGTCCGTTTGAAATCAAAAGTACAATGTTTATTTCGCTAGCTGACATTGTTATTCTTTAGGTGAACATCTAATCTGTGTGAGTAAATGAATAGAGTAAATCCACTGAAATTGTTTGCTTTGGTCATCTTCAGTCTGAGCGTCTGCTTCTGCGTTTGGATTGGCTCCTCTAATCATATATACACCTACACTACAGCTTGGTCCCGCATTCATTTCAAGGGAGCGCTACCCTGTACTAAGATGGCGGCTCTATTGACGCATTCGTTCCAATAGACAACAACAAGGTAGGCGACGTCTAATGTATATATCTATGTCGTAGCCACGCCCTTCTTCCTGTTAAATTTATGCAGACTGATGGAAATTGTTGATTCTGTTTAAATCATCCAGAGTCATTGATTCATCTTTTTTATGAGTCAACATTCAAAGACGTTTTGGGAAGATCTATCATTGTATGTCCAAAAAAAATCAGGTTTTAGATGTAATTTGATCCCCAAAAAATTTATTTTTAATTTTGTTTCAAACAATTCATTCTTGGAATTAATAATCGATCTTTTGATTTTATTTGGTGTATTTAATATTCATAAATGCAGATTGAATAACTCTAAACCATGTTTAAAGGTTTCTATTATAGATTTTCACTTGTATATAGACTCACTCCAATATATAAGCAAAAAATATGAAGATTCAATTATAGTAGCAAAGGAGCTGAAGGTAATTGAATAGTAAACTTGCTGTCAATTGTACGGGTCAAAACATAATATCATTGTAAAGGTGCATATGTTGAAGCTGTCTTTTTATTTATTTATTTCATGTAATTTATATTTTAGTTTATTTTATGTTATTAGTTACATTTGTAGTTTTTGGATGCCATGTTTAAATTGTATATTTGCTGTTGTTTAAATTAAATAAAAAATTAATCAATTAAAAAAGACCCTCTTACTGTAAGCTTCCTATGAAAGAATCATGCGCTACAGAAAGCCCCGCCTCCTACTCAATATTCTGTTTCAGCTGGAGGTACATCAGCATATCTCTTCTTCTTTTATTAACCTGACCTGAGAGGTGAAATAAAGAGGTGAGTTGTGAGATTGAGACAGCAGAGAGCAGCAGAGACTGAACATCATCAGTCACCGGTGTGAAGAGGAAACACTCTGTGTGTGTGTGTGTGTGTCTCTATCTATCTCCCTCACACACACAGTCTTCTTAAATCTAAATGATCAAATAAACTATAATATATCATTGCAAACTATGAAAAATACAAATAAAAAAATCCCTGGAAGCCGAGATTAAAGTCCCATAATAAAAATAAACGTACAACACACACACACACACACACACACACACACACACACACATACACGGGTAAACACATGCACACAAACACAAAAACACACACACATTCACTCACATGCAGTATTCTGTGCTACAGTAAACACACATACACACACACACACTCACACACACACAGATACTTGCAACACAACAATACACACACACAATCATACACACACACTATACACAAACACAGATAGAAACACTTACAAATACACATGAACACACAAATACACACACAGGTACTTACACATGCACACAAACACACAAGAGGCATCCAATCACATCATACACAACACAACACACACATAACATACTCTCTCTCTCTCTCTCTCTCTCTCTCTCTAATAGATATATAGTCTGGTTATTATTGTATGTATATAGTAATAAAGTGTTAATAAATGTCTGTTGATGAGTCCTGTGATGACTTCAGAGAAGTGTGTGTGTGTGTGTGTTTACCTGAACAGGTGAATGATCTCCCTCTGCTCTTATCAGCGCTGCATTAGTCATTTACTATCATTAATGAGCTGCAGAGGAAACAAACAGGAAAGGTAAACAGAGTACTAATGCTGTAAAGATCACCTGCAGTGTTTACATCCACCACAGCCTCATTCTGACTGCTCCATCATTATTATACGGAGTTTCATTCATGACAAAAACCCTGCAAGGCGAGCGAGCTACCCCCTGCGCCACCATGCAGCCCCTATAGGGGAACTGATCAACTCAATTGGTCATAGTGTATGAGTGTAAATGAGGGTGAATGGATGTTTCCCAGTGATGGGTTACAGCTAGAAGGGCATTCACTACGTAAAAACATATGCTGGAATAGTTGGCCGCTCATTCCGCTGTGGCGACCCCAGATTCATAAAGGGATTAAGCTGAAAATAAATGAATGAATGAATGAATGAATGAATGTAGTTATCTATTATTATTAGTTATTATTATTAGTGTTTGGTATCTTTTATTGTCAATTGTTGTGTAAATGTTTGTAGGTCAGAATTTGTAAGTCGTTGTGTTTAAATGTACAAAAAAAAAAAACACAACAATAAAAAAATATATTAAGAAAAATAATTAAAAATTAATATTTCCTAGTACTGGTTTGCAGCTGGAAGGGCATTCACTGTATAAAACATACACTCTAAAAAATATTATTTAGACCAAACGAAAAAAAAAAAAGCAACAGTTTGCATTAATATATTCAAGTTACAACAACATCTAACAAAATAAGTTTAGACAACAAACTTCATTATGTTAGCCAAACGGCCTTTTCCTCTTCAATTAGCGGCACTTTTACATAGCATAAACTCCATTTTTAATTTGAGTAATCAATAAAATAAGCTGTTTCAACTGCTTTTTTTTAATTAAAATGAATTATTAATTAATTAAAATAAATCCAGTGTTATGTACTTGATTCCCATAATTACACATGCAAGTTTTCAAGTTTAGAGCCTCAAATAAATTAAACAGCTGAAATTGTATGTTTCAAATGTTCTGTTCATTCGCTTGTAACAAACAGATTCAACAACAACATTTTTGTTTTCCAGTAATTTTCTATTTGTTTTAAAACTACAGTCTTTCAGTATTTTAAAAAACAAAAATATGCACTGGTTCATATAAACAGTATGAACAATAACAAAACCATCAGCATGTGGACATAAAGAGCATCATAAAGAGCACAATCTACTCTGAAATAAGTCCAGGCTTCAGAAAATAATGTTCTGGAGATGCATTAGTTTTGCACTGGGCTTCAGTCTAACAAGTTTGAGAAACTTTACAAGTACATTTAAGTTCCTTGAGGTAGTTCAGATTCAGAGTGTGCACTATGCCCATCAGCTGACCACAGCACCTTGAGATATCCATTCCGTTTAGGATTCTCATGCCCTCAACTATGATGGTTTCCATCTTGTGGTTTAATTGCAAAGACGACTGGTCACCAATAATGCCAATCCTCCTCATTACAATGTCCTTTTGTAGTAGTCATTGTAATAGTATCGATTGTTATTGAGTAATTGTTTCGGAGATTATTGAAGTAGTAGTTCATGTAGTAGTAGATGTCATTGGTATAGTAGTAGCAGAAGTAGTAATGGTGTGGTTGTTACAGTAGTAGTAGCAGTCGTTGTTGGTGTAGTAATATCAGTAGTAGACGTTGTTGATGTAGATGTAGTAGAAGTGATTGTAGTAGTAGTAGTCGCAGTAGACGTTGTTGTATTAGTTGTAGCAAACGCTATAGTAGTATCAGTAGTGGTAGTAGTATCAGTATTAGTAGACATTGTAGTAGTGTAGTCGTGGTTGTGGCTGTAGTAGAAGCAGTAGTAGTTGTAATATAAGTAACTTTCTGTAGTAGTAGTTGGTGTAGCACTTGTGATTTATTATTATTGTTGTCAGTTATTACTGTTGTCCTTTCTCTCTTTTTACTCTCATATTTACTATCATACATTAATAAGCATTGTTGTTACTCCCTACCTCTGACTGGTTTCTTTCTATATGTTTTATCTATATCTGTGACACTTGCTTCATTTATTGACTGTTATTGTTCCTAATGTATGTACTCTGACCTGTCCACCAAGTTACCTTTACATGCATACACACACTCACACGCACACACTCACGCACATACCAGTACCTGACTATATTGTTGTTGTTTTTGTTTTGTTTTTGTTTCGTTGCTTTGTATTTGTTATTTGTTGATGTTTTCTTGTATTTGTATGATTTTTGCATATCATAAAAAAAAAATGTCCTTTGTGCCAAACAGTCTGCCTGAAACTTGTCCAGGCTCCATTTTTGTAGAAAAATTTAATTATCAACCCAATTTCTTTGGGTTGCTACTAGTTAAATATTGTTTCAAACTAACTGACAGACATATTCACCCTTAAATTAGCTGCATTTTTTTAGTTGCTGTAATTAGCAATATTTTCCTGTTGTGAAAACTTCATCAAATTAAAAGTTTTAATCTAATTTAGCAAGGTAATATTTTTAAGCTACAACAATGTATTAAACTATGTAGTGGTAACACACCTCTTGTGTTTTTTTTTAGAGTGGAATAGTTGGCGGTTCATTCCACTGTGGCGATCCCAGATTAATAAAGGAACTAAGCCGAAAAGAAAATGAATGAATGACAAATTAATACTTGAGTTTGACTCTAAACTCTATAAATGATCTAAGTTTTACGACCACATTATAAACTGGTTTCAGATCAATTATAGGCCAGCGATTGAAAATGATGATGTACAATAATTTGCTCATCATCATAAAATAAATCCCTTAAGTGTTTTATTCAGCCAGCAGCAGCAGCGGCTCCCTCATACTTCACTTAATTCCTGACGACTTCAACACGACGTTTCCCCTACTTAGGAAACTGATTACGACGACAGTTTATCTGCTAATCAGCAATGATTGACCAGATTGAGCATCTCAGGCCTTATGTAAGCCAGTCAATCAGTCTCTGGATCTGCCGCTGAGCTGTTCAAATGACATTAATAATTTCCCCACATCAGATCTCAGCCTGAGAATGCCTAACATTCCCGCTCGGTGATGCGCTTATGCAGTATGGAGTGTGTTGGACTTCAGATCCTCTCAGTATGGAATGTTCAGGGCTTTATGATGCTGTAGGGTGTATCTGTGAGATATGCCCTGTAAACCTGCACTCATTCAGTCATTAAACCTGCAGTAAATAACAGCAATGCTGATTGCCTGCTTAAATCTGCACGTTGAGAGGCTCATCATCGCTCGCTTTATCGAGAAAATACACGGATCTGGATGTTTTTACCTGAACAGAATCTCAGATGACAACATTAAAATGATGTGCAAGGTTCACTAACACCAGCAGGCCGTAAAAGCTGTCTTTTTCTGGGCGGGTTTTGTTAGTTTTGGGCTCTGAGCAGCTCTAGCCAACAAGTGTATATGCACCTGCTGTAAGGTTTATTAATTAGTTTGCTATATATTCTTATATCACTCTTATCTTCTACATTTGTATCTTGCTGCAATTTTAAATTACAGTGTTTGATTTCTGAAAATGAATTTATAAATAAAAATAAAAAATAAAACATCTTCATCTGATTTGATTGCTGGACTGATCCATGATTAGGAGTGTGTGTGTGTGTGTGTGTGGGGGGGGCATATTTGCACAGATGTAATAATTACAGTAACATTTTATTTGTTTGGCCCTCACCATACAAAATATGAAGACTATATTATAGGCGGCACGGTGGCTCAGTGGTTAGCATTGTGACCTCACAACAAGATGATTGCTGGTTCGAGTCCCAACTGGGTGCTCTGGTTTCCCCCACAGTCCAAACACATGCGCTATAGGGGAACTGATCAACTAAACTGGCCGCAGTGCATAAGTGAATGAGTGTGTATGGGTGTTTCCCAGTACTGGGTTATGGCTGGAAGGGCATCCACTATGTAAAACATATGCTGGTATAGTTGGTGGTTCATTACACTGTGGTGACCCTTGATGAATAATAGGTCTAAGCTGAAGGAAAAGGAATGAATGAATGAATGACTATATTATATGTAATTTATAGGTATGTATTGGAGGCATACGGATTTCAACTTATCTCACTTAACATGGTTAAATCCCCCCATCATGATTAATACACACACTTAACCATCTTAACCATCCACGATGGTGATGTACAGAATTTCTATTGTAAAAATGCCTCCAATTTTCTGTGACATCACAGCATATGACAGCGATCACCTCAGGTGCAGATTATGTGCTTTATTCAGCGTTCAATGCAACACAGGTTCATTCTGAAAATGTAGCCCTGTATACGTTTCTGGAGATCACGAATTATGTATCCAGAGGTACGTATCGGCAGTGTGACGCTGCTCGTTTTTATGCTTACCAGCTGACTGCTTACCTCGGTATAGACGGATTTTCCGCTGTTACCAGTTTATTGAGTAGCTCGCCACTTACATCGGCAGATTTGAGACACAGAGAGGAGTTGACTATGACGATGAGGTTCGAGTCCGATGAAGAACAGTTCTGGAAAACAGGCAAGACAAAAACAGAAGCCAAAAAAAATAATAAATAAACAAATAAATAACAGGGTGAGAATGTGGAAAAATTTTCCCAGAGATGGGTTGCGGCCATTAAACTTGCTGGATAAGTTGGCGGTTCATTCCGCTGTGGCGACCCCGGATCAATAAAGGGACTAAGCTGACAAGAAAATGAATGAATGAATGATCAGACTTCATCAAAACAGTCTGCAGAAACACTTTGATCATCAGAGGGGGAAAGCCCCGCCCACTAGTGGCCATCATTAGCATAAACAGCAGCCCTGAGTGTGAAGCAGTTTGTCCAGTAGAGTCAGATAGTGTGAAATATAGGTGGGTAAATATACTGATAGGTAGTATCTCTATACGTACACTACCTGACAGAAGTCTTGTGGTGGATTTTAGTTGTAGGAGCAACACATAATATCTGCTCTTCTAGTTGATGATGTGTGAAAGTGTCAGAGGTGGATTTCTCTGCTGGATCATCTGTTGATCTGCATCCCGATCATCACCAATACTGCAGAAGACCTACTGGAACCAGCATGGACCAAGATTCTCACAGAAATCAGTCAACTTTGGTGAAGGAGACATCATGGTTTGGGGTCATTCAGTATGGAGAGATCTGCAACATCAACAGCCTGAGGTGTCAAGACATCTGTGCTGCCCATTACATTACAAACCACAGGAGAGGGACAATTCTCCAGCAGGATAGCGCTCCTGCTCATACTTCAGCCTCCACATCAAAGCTCCTGAAGGTCAAGCTGCTCTAGGATTGGCCAGCCCAGTCACCAGACATCAACATTATTGAGCTGATGAAGGAGGAGGTGTTGAAGATGAACACAAAGACTCTTGATGAGCTCTGCTGAAGGCTTTCTTCTTCATTCCAGATGACTTTATTAATCAGTGATGTGAGTCATGTCAGAGATGTATGGATGCAGTCCTCCAAGCTCATGATGGAGTCAGACACAATCTTCATTCTGTCTCCACTGCAGCAGGACTTTATATTCTATACTGGACATTATTTCTGTTCAGTGATGACACTTTAGTCTGAGCAGAGTCAGAGCGCACTGTCCTCATCAAATCAGTCAACATCAAGACATGATCAGATTTACTGAGCTCAAATCAGCAAAATCTAGAGGCCTTCACCTTTCATAGAGACACTTCTGACACCAAATTGAGAAAATGAGACTTTCGTCAGGTTGTGTGTGTGTGTGTGTGTGTGTGTGTGTCTGTGTTTGAATTTCTGTGAATGTGTGCGCATGTGTGTGGGAGTGTGTAAGTGCGTGCGCACGCGAATGTGTGTGTTCGGGAGTGTGTGTGAGTGCTAAAGGTCACCGTGCGTATACTGTTGGCAGTATTTATTGACATCTCCAGCCATCCCTCCATCTCTTCTGTGTATCTGTGAGCTGAGAAACAACCATGAAGCTGAAGCTGAAGCTGCCGAACCCGGGTCTGGAGCAGCGGATCCCGTCTCACAGTGAGCTGGAGAAGCTGGAGCTGCAGGAGGCTGGAGAGCGGCCCAAGTGGGACAACAAAGCCCAGTACATGCTCACCTGTGTGGGCTTCTGTGTGGGGCTCGGGAACGTCTGGAGGTTTCCTTACCTGTGCCAGAGCCATGGAGGAGGTACAACACACACACTATACACACAAACATATGACTG